AAGTTCCAGTTGAAAATGGGTTTTGAACAGATCCCTCCTTTGCTCTCCCTCCACCCTGTTTCCTTCTAGTGTCAGCGCACATCGTTGCCACCACAAGGTCCACAAGACCGTCTTCCTCCTCAGAGAGAACATATTCCTCTCGAAAGTACCTTGCTGTAAAGTCGGATAATATCGTAACAGAATTGCTCTCCAGTCCCAGGGCCATGACTGACTTGGGATCATCTGTCTCCAAATCCTGTCCCACCATCTCCACGTTAAGATGGCATTTGGGCACTGCAGAAAGATGTGTTCGATTGTTTTCATCTTTCTCCTAGCTGGAAATCCCTGCAGGCAGCGTGTGCACCATGGTAGGGCCCTGCCCTGTTGTTCCAACTGCGTATGGTCAATTAGCCAGTTGTTCATGTGGAGACAGCGGCGAGCAATTTGCCATTGAAGGGAGGTGATTTTTGCCGGCCTGCGCTTCCAATCCTGGAACCACCGTATCGGTGTAAGAAGGTGTCTGTCTACATTGAGGTGCTTCTGCCACCTGTCAATTATCACATCTCTCAGGTCTTGGTGGCCTCTGAGCATCCTATAGGTGCCTTTCACCGTGAGGCTGGATAGTGTACGGGGTCTCCTAGAGCAGGTTTTGGCCCTCACCGGGGAGGCCCATTGCCACTCCAGGGGATCCAGTGCAAGTTTGAAAAGCTGGGTTTCGGGCATAAATGCTCGCTGATCCTCCCCTTCCCTAAATGTGCGAATCCTCTATCTTAAAGGTATCCGAGTGCATTTACGACCACAAACGCATGTATATGACCGCACTTACGACCATAAATAAGTTAAAAACGTCCTTGGCTAGTGTGAGTACGCCCTAACAGGGTACTTGCACCCTGCCAAGAAAATGAAGGGGTGCGTGAAACATCGCCAAGAAAATGAACAGGGCGTTATGGAGTGGAAAAGGCAAAGGTTGCACATTGGAGAAAAACGAACGCCGACTTGTTTCAGGGTAATCAATGCTGACAGGATGTCAGTGTGTTCAGATGTTGAATCATTCGCAGGGACGCTGGACCCATTTTCCAGCAGGTGTTGCTCCCCACCAATAGATTGGAACAACCAGCCTATTCGCCAGAAGGGTGCGCTCTTATCACCTCTGCTAGCGGAGGGACTGGGTTTCCAGAAACGATCACTACCTCTGCCACTCTTGGGAAAAATGGGAAAACTGGCTGTTTTCCCACTTTTTCCGAACTTTTTGGGGGTCTGCGGAGGCTTGGCAGTTGGGCCTTGTGTGCCCGTTCGAAAAGCAAAAAGAAAAACAAAAGACCAAGTTCACAGCCCATAGGGGCTGCTTTTACCACCGTTGTCTGGACTACAACGGTTGTCGGGCGTCTACTGGTAGTCTAGGCGTGTGACGGTCGTTGGGAAGGTGGCGGGACTAAGAAAGAGGGGTTAAAGCCCTAAAGAAATTGTGAGGGCAGGCCACCGGAGACTGGTTGCTTGTGTGGATGGTTTTTGGACGGCTTCAAGGGTTGTCTTTTTCTTGTTGCTGTTTCGCCTGCCGTGATTCCCGTTTTCGTTTTTTCTCTTTTTTGCTGTATGCCGTTTCTTTCCTTCTTTCCGTGGAGTGTATGTAACGGTCAACTCGCTGCACTACTCACCAAATGTGTAAAATGACAAAGAATGTTTCCTAGATCCTGAGTAGATGCATCTGAGTGAAAATGTTTTCTGTTTTCCTTTTTCTTTTGTTTGTGATGCTGTGTGACGTCATCATATGCCTGAGGCCTGGTGTGGCTGACAGCCTTGCAAGTGGAAGACCATGCATCTGAATGCAAGAATGTTTAGGAGCATTGTACTTTTTAGCGTTTTCTCGTTTGGGCCTGTGCCTTTTCTTTCTTTCTTTCTTTCTTTCTTTCGTTTTTCAAAGCCCTTATGCCAGCCCTCTATTCCGGCGGTGGTACGAGGAGCGCCAGAATTGAAGGCTTGTCTGTTGGGCTCCTCCATCTATTGGTGGCGAGCGGCACCTGCTGGAAACCGGGTCCAGCGTTCCATTGATACATCTTGTAGCATAGCAATTGTTGGTCGTTGTTTCCTGGGACTGTGGTTATTTGTCTTGCTGGTCCGGGGCTCCATTGTCCCATGGAGCTGCTAGTAACACCCATCCCATCTTGGAGCACCCCTTATCTATTAGCCCAGCCCTGTCCGGCAGGCCCCCTGATGATTGTTTTCTTGTCTGAACCCTTTAAACCCTATACCCTCTCCAATCCCATGCATAACACATTCTCGATCCTTGAAGGCTAAACATCTGAAGATATGCAAGGAGATCTACCAGGAGATGATTAGCAATGCAATGCAATGCAGCGCAATAGAACTCCACTCATCGAGAGAGGATTGGCTGGGGGTATTCTCAGGTACTGTGAAATCCGAACTGCATGTCTCGCTGTCGCCTTTTCAGCCACCGTGGGGGGTGGCTCCTGCTGGAGATCGGGTTTAGCGTCCCTTCCAACTTTCACCTTCCCAGCAGTCCCTCCGTCGATTTCTTCCAAGGGTGTGGCCGTTGCTGCTTCATTCTACTTGACGGCTGACCAGGCTGACCTATCATCTCCTGTGTAAGTGGAGTTGAGAGTGACTCTAAGCGGCGAGCGTCGTATTGGTGGGTGAGTGCGCTGGGGGGACATGGGGCGGTGGGGGCATATCCACTGGAGTTTTCTGTGGGGAGCACATGGGCAGCGAGGGAGGTTGGGGGGGGGGTAGSGGGSGGGGGACCTATCGGTAGCGAGGGGAGGGGTGGAGAAGTCGGGAGTGGAGAGCCAGCCGAAAGGGGGGAGACGCTGAAGGAGGTGTCTGGGGAGGCTGGGAGGGCAGGGGTGGGGCCCCCTGTGGGTAGGGGCGGGGGTGGAGGTGAGGGTCCACAGAGGTTTGGGAGCAGTGGACAGATACTGGGTTGGCTGTTGTGATTGTCCCCGACGACAGACCCGGCAGCGGTGTGTAAAAGCAGTCTGGGTGACGGGAGGACCATTGGTCTTCCAGCGCTGCCCAGTTTTCTAGATCAGCTTTCCAGTCTCCTGGACTTCGGCCATCTTGCAGTGGGGGTCAAGCCAGCGCTCGGTAAATGCTGAGATAGCCTGTTGTTTTTCTCTCTGTCCGAACTCACTGCTACCTCTTCCAACAGTTTTCTACCAGCTTTGACCATGTTAGCCCGGATAATTTCTACGAGTTCAGCTTTGGCGTGGTGATAGCTAAACGTCATTTCTAACACTCTGCTGAGCACCTCGTCCGCCATATGGCCATGAATTCAGCCAGCCTCATGTGTTTGAACCATACTTGCGGCGCACCGGCATTATGCGCAGCGCGCTGTGCGCAGACCCGAGGTGCGCACGTGCGCCGCGCGTCTGGGTGCATGGTGCGCTGCGCACATGCCTGGTGCGCTGGGGAATGCGCATCTGCAGCCCGCATATGCGCCAGGTGCGCACATCTTTTTTTGTTTTTGTTTTTGTATGTTGCATTGGAGATCACACACACACACACACACACTTTTTTTTTCTTTTTCTTTAATGTTGCATTGGAGAGCACACACAACACACACACACACACACTCTGGAGGATTGATGCTGCCGCTGCGCACAACAACTTTACAGATTAACCCACAAAATGTCCTCGGGGCGGCGATTAGAACTTAGTACTTACCTTGGGGTTGGTTGAGCAATGTGCGTGTAATCAGAGAGGAAGCATGTTCGTTTTTCAAACACAAGCAGAAACAAGAAACATCACAAGATTCAAGACAAAAGAAAGTGTTAGACTCGGTATCCCGAAAGCCGTAGCTTGCGAAGTTCGTAGTCTTACAAGCACGGAAGCAAGCAAGCAAGCACACACTACCCTCAAAATACTCATTCGTGATTCTGCGAAAAGTAAGGGCTACTCGTCCTGCTCCCTCGAGTGTTCCTCCCCGTGAGACTCCGCATACGACGTGACCTTCTCCGACTCATCCCCGTTCGGCTCTCCACTATCATCCGATCTTTGGGACAGTTCCTCCTACTCAATCTCCTGCGGCGCACTGTCGTCCGACGATGACAATGACGATGATGATGAAGAAGATTTATTTTTCCGCTTACGACACAAATTTTCTTCATTGTCTTCGATCACCTCACAGTTGTTCTCCTCCTTCGCAGGCCTTGCTGCCTTGGCTACTGCAGCTTTTGCTGCCTCTCCACGTGCTGCTAATGCAGTTGTTCTCCTCCTTCGCAGGCCTTGCTGCCTTGGCTCCTTCTTCGTCGGCGAAAGACGAGGCCGCCTTTTTTTTTTTGTTGTGGAACATCCCCCTCCCCAACATTCCTCTTTCCTTTCTCAACCTGCAGTTTTTCAACAACGTCCGCTGCTGTTGCCTTCTTTTTGCGTCGCCCGCGACCCGACACCACCTCCCTCCCCTGCACCCAATCGTCGCTTTGACGCGCCTTCAAGGCACGGGCACGACCCTCCAAGGTATACAAAAACCCGAGATCGGGTTCTTCAAGACCCAACTTCCTGCGCAACTCCTGCATTCGGTGCGTTCCAGGCTTGCGTGGTATGTTCTCTCCAGTGCACCGAGCACGACAATGTCGTCCTCATCATCAGCAAAGTTCTCCTCCTCGTTGCTCTTCAACCATGTACGCGCCAGTGGGGCATCATTGCATTCTTTGTTGCGGACCTCCGTTGCAGCAACATCACCGGCTGTCCCTTCCCTAACTTTCGCGGCCCATTGGTCGTACCACTCCTCCACTTCTGTTATCGCCAACATCATCATCCTTCTGCGGAATGTGTATGTCTTCCCCGTTCCCTTGCTCTCTTCGCGTCGACAATTGGATATTCCAATTGTTATAGCTTACTCAATCTCTCCGGTAAGAGTTTCGTGTGGCGTTGGCTGTAAATGAGGTGGTGTAAGCTCCAGTTTCGCTCATATCCAGCCGAAGAGCTCGTCTGGCCAAGAAGTTTGGTTGCCTGCAGTTGGAGGAGGTCCAGGGACCCCCCGAACGCCTCCCACCATAGCGCCAGAGTTTTCAAACTCGCCTGCTCCCTTGCATTCTGTGTCCCCAAAGTGCCCAATCCCTGCACCCACATGTCCACCTGTTTGCTGATTTCTCGCTACAACAACTCCGGCGGCGCCCAAAAATAAAGCCAGATGTTGAACCCCTCGCAAATCTGCATGTCTCTCAACGTGTGCGTCATATACTCGGGATCAAGGAAGATGGCCACGCAATGCAGCTCTGATGTCATGAAGGCCCACCGGTCCATCAAAATCTTCTCCACGTTCGCCTTCTCAGCGTCCAACAGGCCGTCGAGGGTGCGCATAGTAGCCACAACCGCGTCCATGCCAAAATAGACTTTGCTCATAGTTGCTCCTGGACCGTCCACCAAACGAAGGAGCTTGACAACAGGCTTCATCACCGCCAGAGTCATGTCCACATCCTTCCAGAATCCATTTGTGTCCATGATGATGTGGGTGACAACGTTGAATGGAGCCACCTGCTCCCCCCTCACCAACTTCTCTACCCACGCCACGTTGCAGACACAATGCTCCAATAGATTCCTCCCCGTGCTAAGCGACAGAAGCATCTCAAAGTTCGTCGTGAATCTAGTGACCGTCGAGCGTTTGAGTTGCGCATCCGCGATCCTGTTGTACATAGCACGAACCTTGTCGACGTTGGTGAAAAACTTGCCAACTTTATTGTCGTTGTCGACGACCGTTTTCAAGCAATCTATGTAGGTGTACATGTCCTCCAGGGCCAAATCCAAGGCATGGGTTGTGCAACCCACACTAAAGATTCCAAGGTACTTAGCATCCGCCATCTCCCCCGCTTTAGCGCAAACCTTCGCATTGTCCATCACAACGCCGACAATGGACGCCGCACTGATCTCCTGGATCACCCCGTCCAACATCTTGAAGTACGTTGTGGAATCATTTTCCCTCCCCTCCATGCAGACAGACTTCGAAAACACTGTTCCGGCCGGGAAAGAGACCATGACATTCAGATGCGGTTTGTTCCTCCAGTCCGACCACCCGGCCATTTGGAGCATGCATCCTGTTCTCTCCCACTTCTTCACTAGTGACTGCGTGTCTTCTCCCACCAATTTAAATTGTCCGTCCAACTGTTTGGTCCTCATCTTGTCCCTCTTGCTAGACCACCAACTAGGATGACACTTCTTCACAACATCGAGGAACTCGAGAAAGCAGAAGTTCTCCACCATGTTGAATGGCTGATTCGTGCAAATCAGCCACCGATCCATCTTCCGACCCGCGTGCTCGTTTCGGGTGATGATAGTGTCTGCCTCCTCGAGCAAAGTTTGCCTCACCGACCGTCCACACCACTTCCCGGGGCAGGAGCGAAGATGTTTGCAGATCTTGCAGGCGAGGTCGTCTCGCCATCACTTGGTCTGCGTGTTGGTGATGATGGAGGCACGAAACTGTTGGAAGACGGTCCTGTGCTCCGACCACCACTTCCCCCAATTCCACCTACGAGATGAGTGGCCTGGTGCTTCCCCAGCCTGATGCCCTTGATTCTCGTGAGCCTTTCCTCCGCGGTCAATGCCCGAGTGACAAGCTCAATATTGCACTTCGTCAAGAAGTGCCTCTTCCGTGCCGACGAACCGGGTCTCACAATAGTTGCAGAGCCAGTGCCTCAACCCCTTGCCGGGGTCCTTGCCGCGAGGACCTTCATCAGTGAAGTGCCTCACGAACGATTGTATGATTTGCTTCGCCAGTGTCGCCGACATCTTCACCTGCACACACACAATCCACAAACAGCCAAGGCGTCGACCCCTCTTCAACACTCTTCAAAGAAATAGCGTCCACCCCTCAAGCCCGTCTCCCCTCCACCCACCTCCAGCTCCCCCCCCACCTGTCAAACAACTGCCTTGGATCAAAGCCCCCAATCAAAGCACTGCCTGTAACCGCAGGCCCATCACTGAAATGGCAGAAGAATAAAAAATTCAAGCTTGTCCAACGAGAGAGAGAGAGAGAGAGAGAGAGAGAGAGAGAGAGAGAGAGAGAGAGAGAGAGAGAGAGAGAGAGAGAG